TGGGACCGGGAGGAGCAAAGCCCGGCTGAGGCTGCCCCGGAGGGAGCGGTGCAAGGGTTATGAATGAGGGAAGAAGCTTGAGGGAGGCCTTTGGTGTGGGAGGGGGAGGCTGTTGAGGTTAGTGGATGGGGGGGGAAGCAGGTCTGTGGGAGCGGGCTGGGGAGGGGAAGAGGGGGATTGAGAGAAATGTCTGTAAATGGAATGGTCTTGGGGAAGAGGGAGGGGAGGGGTGAAGATGAAGTTACTGTGGGGAAGCAGCTATCTGTGAAGTTGGGAAGGGATATGGATCTGGTCAGCAGCTGTGTCATTGTTGCTAAGGTTGTGGCTCACTTGCTGGGTTTCTTCTTGGTGTAGCTGGACCGGTGCTCTGCTGTGAAGGTGCTCGCTATGCTTCATGTAGTGCTGTATGTGGAGTTAACAAAAATGCACACTTTACAAGTATTTTTGTGGCATCACAGTTTCATACTGAGTTTTTGAAATGAGAGAAGGTCTAGCAGTACAGAGCAGAGCTAATAAACGTAATGAGATAATACATATCATGGAATAGACTGGAAGGTAAAAGACAAACACTAAAAGGTACTCCAAGTTGTTTCATTTTATTGAATCCTATAAAATGTATTTTAAACCAGAGCGAGAAAGACTTGGATACCAGAGAAAAGATTTTTAAGGAATGATTGGGTGGAGAAGACTGAGACTGCTTTCTGCAATGGACGGGTGTGTTATTTGGGACATAAAGAACGTATGCAACAACCTTTCTAAAACGGAGTCAGCACCATAGTGGGAAGCTTATCTGTCATGGAGGCCTTTACGCAGGAGGATTGGGATCTAAGGCAGCCCTTGCTTTTCAAAGAACCTGTGTGTAGACTGACAAAATGGGTTTTAGAATGAACATTAGGCAATGGACTGCTTCTCCCAAAATCTGTGGGGTTCCCTTTCTCCATAGAGACTGCACTTGACTCGTGAACTCTTTGTATGTGGACTGAGTTGAGCCTGGCCTGTTCAGCTCTTCTGTCTTAAGTTAGTACACAGGGCCTGCTCCACAAAAACTGTCACTGTGTAGACAGTTTGCTAGAGTAGACCCTAGCTCTGTGATGCGTGCTTTTCTTTTATAAAAGAATAAGCAACATCAAATTTCATTAGAGGCTGCAGGGTGAGTTTGAGGGAGGTGATAGTTGTGGAGAAACTGATTTATGATAACCTCTTCCATTAGAAACTGTAGCTCATGATTCCCTTGTACATTGTTAGGCATTGTGAGAACTCGTGATTGAAAATTACAGTTCTGGGAGACAAGGATCCATTAGTTTGGGATGCGTGATGTTCTGGTTTGTAGAAGTAGAATGCATAGCAAAAATACTGGTTTTGGGAAAGACTATGGTGGTAGTAAGTATAAATGTGCTTTCTTTAGAGCAATGTATTGTTAGGAGTGACTGTATGTCTTTAACAACCCTACAGGCTGCCTACACAGCCTAGTTCCTTATGCTAGTTAAGCTGCTCTTTGCAATAACGAGAAAACACAGGGATCATCTGAACCAGGTACCTAGGGAAATCAAATCACATGTGTCTGCTTAAAACAGTTCTAGATTTGGCAGTGTTAAGTGAGGGCAACATACAATTGATCTTTGGGACAGGCTTGCTAGATATAGTTATTCTTCTCTTATTAATTCTTGAATTGCTTGCCATCTGGGCTTATTCTTCACCAATTACTTCAGTTCATACCCGTATGCACGCTGCTTGCATAGGGTCAGTGCCTTCACTGGAACTCAGGAGGCTGCACAGCTGGATCACATCAATAGAGGGTTTCTCTAGAGCGGAGGAGAGATTCTTAAGATCTCTGTCTTTTAGGATCTAGCATAATAGTGTAAGATGGTTAGGAGTTTGGGATTTTCCCACTGAATTTTTGAACCTTCTTGTCTTACATTCATGGCTCTTCAGTACACTGTTCAGCTGTCTAATTTTATTTGTAATTACTAGTTTTCTACAAGAAGTGTCTACAGATTTCTTTTCACTGTAGTATCTAGTTTGTGTTACTCTACTCAAACTAGGTCACCTTGACTGAGGGTGGCTGCCTTGTCTCAAGCACCTAGACTTGATTAGTAGTTCATAAATAGCATAAGTGTAAGCTGTGGCTGAACCCCAGCTGTATTCAGTGTTCAGTCTTTCAGCACCTTAAATCAAGCTCCTTCTTTGGCTTGATGCATCTGCAAGAGTTGCATTTGGGCAGTCCTTCAGTTCATGGCATTGCACTCCTTTATGCTTGAGGAGGGACTGGCATTTGAACTAAAACTGAGGACTGAATGCCTCCTTACTCACAGAATCTGAATGTGACTACTAGGATCTTTCTACACTGTCATCTATACAATGAATACAGTGTATGTACTGTTTGAAAAAGAGAGAGGCAGTTAAGGCAGGTTGTATCAAATTTCTGTGGTGGCAGGCAGAGTTTGACTTAATGACTGTTATGTCAATATAAAACTATTGCACTACTGTGCACATAGTTGAAGTCTTCATTTTACAAGAAACACTGGTGTTAGGTTTAGCTCAGTGATGGCCTGAATTTCCTGAACACTGAATATTTATACTCAATATGTGTTTTCTTTAATATTCATCAAACCAAATTCTCATCAGTCAAAGACACCTTATCTTTGGATTCTTAGGTTTGGTGTAAAGAATAAAGCAGATGGGGTGGGCTTAAAGAGTATTTAGCCACAAATTTCACATTTAAGATTCACAGTGCCCAACTTTTCCTGTCTGATACATACATTAGAATAGTGATTTTTTTCCCCACAAAAAAAAAAAAAACAAACCAAGCAAACAAAAACCAAAAAAACACAAACAAACAAACAAACCAAACAAAAAAAAACGTTGTGAGATCATCAAAAAGTTGGTAGTGTTAAGTTCCTGTTTTGCTAGGTTTTCTGTCAACCTGTAAGAAAACTTTACCTCAGTCCCAGGCAATTTATGGCATTGTCCGAAGTTAGATGTTAGTTAATATGTAATTACACTCCCTTTGTTAGACTTGGCAATGGTGGAATTTCCTGGTTGAGTGATAGGCCAGTGAATCACTGATACAGCCTCCACTATCCTTGGCAAAAGCCTAGGTTTTTGGAGCAAAGTTGAGAAGAAATCATTGGTTGATCTTTAGCAGTTACAATTTAATGTGTAACTGCTCTGTGCATAAGTGCACTTGCCAGTGCTAAAAAGTATCTGCATGATTTTAAGAAGGCCAAGTGTTGTGGTTTAACCCCAGCTGGCAACTAAACACCACAGAGCTGCTTGCTCACTCCCCCGTGGGATGGGGGAGAGAATCGGAAGAGAAGTGAAAAAATTTGTGGGTTGAGATAAAGACAGTTTAACAGGTAAAGCAAAAGACACGCACAAGTAAAACAAAAGAAGGAATTTATTCACCACTTCCCATGGGCAGGCAGGTGTTCAGCCATCTCCAGGAAAGGAGGGCTCCATCCCATGTAACAGTTACTTGGGAAGACAAACGCCATCGCTCTGAACATCCCCCTCTTTCCTCTTCTTCCCCCAGCTTTATATGCTGAGCATGATGCCATATGGTATGGAATATCCCTTGGGTCAGCTGTCCTCACTGTGTCCCCTCCCAACTTCTTGTGTACCCCCAGCCTACTCACTGGTGGGGTGAGGAGCAGAAAAGGCCTTGACTCTGTGCAAGCATTGCTTAGCAATAAAAAAACATCCCTGTATTATCAACACTGTTTTCAGCACAAACCCAAAACCTAGCCCCATACCAGCTACTCTGAAGAAAATTAACTCTATCCTAGCCAAAGCCAGCACACCAAGATAGGGCTGTGGCTAGGGAGCTAGATGATGGGCTAGGGAGCAAGATCCTCCAGTGTTCTACTATGTTGTGCTTGATATCCTTGTCATGAAAATATTATTTGAATGCAGTGATGGTTTTAATTTTTTTTCACCAGTTAAGAATTTTTTTAACATGACTGGAGAAATTTGAAATATTGCCTGAAGGAAACCTTCATGTGAAAAAAATTTTGTTACTCAATTTCTGCTAGAAGAGTAAGGAAAAACTTTGCTAGAGTATTTGCTTTTAATAACATGTCTGAAGAAGAATACAAGCTCTAAGAAAAACATAGCTAGTTTTTTTTAGTGTACTTCATACACATTATAATGTATCCAGCAAAAGAATGAGTATCAAACTGAAAACCAAAAGAAAGAGCAAGGTAAGTTTTAAAGTGATGAGGTGATTTGCAGTGGTTTAGTTGAAGTGTGCCATGTATCTGGGAGGGACAGCTGACAAGTATAGATAGCTTACGGGAGGGAGCAAAGAAGAAACCTGTATCAAATATGAGGAAGATGGAAAACATTAATAGTGATATTTTAAAATGAGAAATACAAGGTTTAAGATTATTAGAAATGTTTATAACATGGTTTATAAAAAAAAAAAATTCCACAGAAATGAAAGATTACCTATTGAGGGTGGAGGGAGAAAGAAATGCATTGTTGAATGATAGCAGTCCAAATTTGGCAGTTAAAATATTTGTATGTGTGTAAAATCTTGTTCGTAACGCAGTTCAGCAGCACTGACTACATGTGGAAAGGTCTGTGCACCCTCAGTACCATCTGGGATATTTATAAAGCAATCATAGAATGGTTTGGGTTGGAAGGGACCTTTAAAGATCGTCTAGTTCCAACCCCCGTGCCGTGGGCAGGGGCATCTCTCACTAGATCAAGTTGCTCAAAGCCCTGTCCGACCTGACTTTGAACAGTTCCAATGATGGAGCTTCCACAACTTCTCTGGGCAACCTGTTCCAGTGTCTTTCTACCCTTGTCACAAAAAATGTCTTCCTTACATCCAATTGAAATCTACCCTCTTTCAGTTTAAAATGATTGCCTGTTTTCCTGACACTCCAGGCCCTGGTAGAAAGTCTCTCTTTCTTAAAAGCCCCCTTTATATATTGAAAGGCCACAATAAGGTCTCCCTGGAGGCTTTTCTTCTCCAGTCTGAACAGCATCAACTCTGTCAGTCTTTCTTCATAGGAGAGATGTTCATTCCTCTGATGGTCATTTTTGTGGCCCTCCTTGGGACCCACTTTAACAAGGTTATGTCTTTCTTGTGCTGGGAGCCACAGATCTGGATGCGGTACTCCAGGCGGGGTCTCATGAGAACAGAGTAGAGGATGGGAATCACCTCCCTCAGCCTGTTGGTCACGTTTCTTTGGATGCAACCCAGGATACGGTTGGTTTTCTGGGCTCCCAGCCCGCATTGCCACCTCCTGTCCAATTTTTCATCAGCCAGTACCACCAAGTCCTTCTCTGCAGGGCTGCTCTCAATCCATTCATCCCCTAGTCTGTATTGGTATTGGGGATGGCCCCAGCCCATGTCCAGGACCTTGCACTTGGCCTTGTTGAACTTCATGAGGTTCCTTCCATCCATTTATTTCTATACATAGACTATTTGTTGTATTAGATACTACTTTTGGTAGAAAGAATGCTATATTGAGTCCAACAGAAAGATTTATGGAATAGAACTTCCCTCTGAGGAATGTAGTTGTGTTATAGAAAGTAGCAGGTTACAGATGTGTTATCCAGCACAGGGAAGAGGGCAATGCATGTGTGAAGGCATAGAAGGATGTCATAAAAATAAGTTCTTCAAGTTCTGTGAGCTAACTCTTGCTCCACCTTCCAATTGTGCGTTTCCTCTTTGTTGCCAACTTATTATATTTGTGTAGGTGTAGCATCACACTGGGTTCACATTTCATTTGAGAAATATGAGAACACAATGCTGTTTCTTTAATCTGCTATCTTGATTTCAAAGCAAATGCCCAGGAAGTGTGCCCGTACCTGTTCCACTGGAATGAAATAGTGTACTTTACTTTCCACTGTGTTTTTCCTTCTGTAAGGCAGACTCAGTCAGTGTTTATTTTCTGGCAGATCCTAGACATAGAACTTTGTGTACGGGCACACAAAACTTAAACTTTGCCTTTTGCAGTTTTAAGAGGCTGGTTGTCTTCTGTTTGGCTTTGTATTTTAACTAATGTGCAAGTGCCTTTTGTTTCATTAATCAGTCTTAAACTTGTTAATCATGAAGTAGAATAAGAGCTAGCAGTAGCAATAACTTCTGTAACTTGGCTTTTAACTCTAAAAGACTATCAGCAGTGAAAACATTTCACAGCCAGGCTGGAAGGAATGTAATTCATGTAATGCCATCACTGTGAAGACTGGAAGTGTAACAGTTAGTAATTTATTGGTTTTAAATTTAACTTTCCTTGTGACAGAGTAGGGAGGAGTAAAGAAATAGTTGCTAATAGAACTTATTTTCATGTCAAATCTTTTGGTAAATGAGTAGAAATTAATACAAACATTAACTCTGTAGCCTGTTGAAAAGGCCTCCTTTCACCATTTTCTGTTACTCTGTATGCGTTTGTTTTCGATATGGTGCATCCCTAGGCCATCATCTAGGAAGGCCTTTTCTTTTGTGCATGTGTAGAATCCCAGGCTCTGCCAGTAAGGTGTAAATTGCAGGATGGAAGCCTAAACCATGGTATGTTTTAACTTCCCTCTGTCATGAATTCCTCTCATTTCATCTGTATGAACTTGTTCTAAAGATGTGTCAATGGTAAGTGGTAAATGGACCTTGATTTATAGACAACATGTGTACCCTGAAACTATTTCAAGTGACTCTTTGATTGTGTCTTACTGCAGGAGGTGCTAAGGTCCTGCAGCTCATTGACTGTAATGTAGCCTGTCGTACCTGTTACCTGGTAGTAATTGTGTGCATGACTTCTACTGTGGATTGCTCAGTTGTTTGACAGAAAGCATGTTGTCATTTAAATCTGTGAATTAAACCTGCTTTTTTGTTATGTGACTTACTGGAATTCATGGTTAATTGATTTTGTTGTTGTTGTGTTAGCTACTTCTTGAGATAGTGTTGGGTGCTTGAGTTTTTTTGGATGCTGATTTCTTGTCAAGTTTTCTCTGATATTTTCTTGAAGCTTCAGAAATCTAAAGAAAATTAAATGTAATGAATATAATAAAAAATGAGCCAGCTGCAGTAACTGTAAGAAAAGCTTTACTAGTAATTGAGGCTGAATTAATGAAATATAATGCAGAATACTGGATAGTTTGGGATACTGAAAGAAATTCCCATGTAATTGATGCAGGAGAAATGCACAGCCAAATAAACTAATTTGGATCATTTGTGCATGAGCTATCATCTTTTTTATTATAAAATCATATGTGAAAATGTAAGGCACCCTAGCCTTAAAATTTCAGTGAGTCTAAAACATGCTAATCAACTAGATACTTGATGTTAGAAAAGTTGACTCTGAACAGTTCTGTGCTCACTTTATCATAATGTAGCTGTATCAGCATGGTGTGAAATTTTGGGAGTGCCTGGATCTGTGGAGTTGCCCCTGCTCTTTTGTTCTCGCAGACGGTGTTAGGCCACGCTTGCCGAAAGGATCTCCATAATATGCAGTGTAACTCCAACCATCTTTGGAAAATGTCTCAAGACAGTCTCTAGTCTGAGTTTAACTAGGGAGTACTTAAATTAGTCATGTTTTCTTCCAGAGTTCTCTTTTTTTTTAGTGTTTTACATACCTCAAACTAAAGTAATTCTCAGATTTTGAGACCTCCTACAAACTCAAAAACAGGATAAATTCACAAACTAATCCTTAATTTTGCACAAGATTCTGTTACTGTAGATGCTTAGCAGCCGAGAAGCTCAAAAGTTTATACCATCAGATCTTTAAAAGGCAAAATCTTAAGGTTTAGACAAGTCCTGTAATCTTGTTCTTGTTGCTCATGTAGTAAATCCTGATTAATATTATCAAGTTACAGGAAAATAAAATATAAGGTATATTTGCTGTTCATTAAGTCAAATTGATTATGTTCCTTTTGGCCTAATGTATTTCATCTGGAAACATTAGAATTTGCCTGTATTTTAGGGGCAAAAGTGTAGGGACAATACAAAAATAAAATGTAAAATATGAAACTTTAGCCTGTGGTGGAGAAATTACTAAGGGAGATTAAAATCTGCAAGTCAGAAATCTATTCATTTTGTCTGGAAATATTATGAAATGGAAATATGTGATTTTCCAGTTTAAAAAAAAAATCTGTTTCCTTTAAACAGATCTTTTTCAGACTTTGCATAATATGATACTTTGAGCTGAAGGTATTACTTCCTGTATAGATTGGTTGGTTTTGTTTTCTGAATCTGTAAAACCTTTCCAGGGTCCTCTTCCTTTATACTTATAAGGAGAACAACTCTTCACATGGATCCATCTGCATTTTATCCACCTTTGTGTACTGAAGTCGAATGTGACGTGGCTGTAAATACTGTCTTAGCTTACTGCATGTTGACTTCCCATATAGACCTGCCTGTAACTTCGTCCCCTGCCTTCCGTATTGCTGGCTGCAGGATGTGTCTATATGGTATACTGAATAAACTACACCGAAGCGGTTTTCTTTTTTCTTTTTCTTTTTCTTTTTTTTTTTTTTACCTAGACTAATGAAAGAAAAGAATAATGAGCCTAGTCACTGAGTTAACAGATGTAATAGGCTACATTACAATCAATGAGTTGCAGGTACTTGGCACCTCTCACTGTAAGATACAGTTCAAAAGTCACTGAATTAATGTTACCACTCAACTTCCAGTCTTTGAATTAGCAAACCTAAATCTGATTTTTTGGAACAGATGCATCCTGCAGAGTACTGAGTAGTCTGTCCAAAGTCCAGTAAGAAGTCTAAACCTGGTTGTAGGAAATGCATTGGGAACTTTCATTTCATCGTTGGTTTAAGACGATCAAAGTGTGGGCTGTTACTGAAGACAATAGTTCATTTAGTATATGACTGCACAGCTGTTGTAGTGAGGGTAGCAGGAGCTCATGGCTAGAAGAGAGTGATTACACCTCTGGTAGTAATCTGTAAATCTAAACCTGCTGTGAAACTGCAGTTGAAGACAGTTCAATGGTTTGAAGTTCAGTACTTGGCTCCTTTTCTGGATCTGGTCCCCAGTTTGCGCAGAGTTCTATGAACTGATATGCAGCTGCTTTAAAAGAAAGGAAGAGGGACCAGGAGAGCTGATAAGATACTGTGTGCGCTCAATAGAGGGTGGTTATTTTATTGGCATTGTAAGTTTCAGGACTCTGTACTTCCTGCTGTGTAAACCAACTCTTTGTAAGTACAGCATGAAACCACACTGTTGTTCTCTACAAACCTGTCTTGCTGACCACTGACAGGACAACTTTTAACAAATATCCTTATTTCAGCTATCACACTGGACACTTAAAGTCCATTTTGTGTGAATTTTGGAAACTCTGAAACTGCTTTAGTGAATTATGGTAAAGAAATGTTTCCTGCTAACTGGCACCTTTTTGAGACACATTGTCTGGGGAAAGTTCCCATTTTTTATCCTGATTACTAATGAAGACAAGACTGTAGTTCAAGATAATATTGTGGTATGTATTTCTTATGGCTTTGCTGATGGGCTTAAACTGTTGTGCTTGGTGGTATGTTTTCACACTGAATGCTTTGATACTTGCTCATAAACAAGGCATTAGTGATTTATTTTTAAAATTACATTCTAAGCTGCTTGGTAAATAAATGGTTGTATTTCAGCACGAAATTCATGTGAATATTATTTTCTGATACTGTGACCTATTTTGAAGGTTAAGGAATTGATCTCTGAGAATTTTGAACATTTGTAAAACCCTTTATCACTTCACAGGCTCACAGAATGCAGAAATTTGGGTCTCAGCTCAGGAGAGATGTGTATTCCCATTATCTGTATTTTGTTCAGAAGCATTTTGAAAACTGAAAATTAAAAAGTTTAGAAACTTATTTCTCTGTAAGTGTGCTTTCATGAAATTTAGTGTTGCTCATCTTAACTGTATATTGCTCTTTGTATTTCCAGATTGTCAGGTCTCAATACTAAAAAATGAGGTAGATGGAAGAGGTGGAAGAAATTGTTTGTGCAAGTTGGCTCACATAAATGTGTTTTTGCAATGTCCATTTTCTCCAGTAGCATAGGCAGACCTTTTAATGAAGTTCTTCTTTCTGATCTTTCTTATCTTCTCCATTTTGTTGTTGGGGATGCGTTATTCCACAGTTAGCATCCTCATGTAAAGGGTTATTCCACCAGAACCTGTGGAAAAAGTTAGCAAATCTTGAATGTCATCTGCAGCTTGCTTCTCCTTCATGCTTTGCATTTCTGTCTGATTTATATTGTCCTGTGCAGGTGCATCTTTAGTATTTGTTTCTTCAGTGAGTTAAATGAGATCATAGTTCATACAAAAGTGTCTTCTATTAAGAATCCTTAAAGGCATCCTTGTGTATTTCTTCCTCAGTTTCTGCATCCTGACATCTTTTTCTTCCTCCTTTGCCAATATGCTTTTATAAATATTTTTGCAGCCATATGATTCTTGAGGTAAACAATTTTGTTGTGTAGTAAATACTTCATATCTCTGTGGCTGTTGGCAGTTCACGCTTGTTTGCAGGTTAATGCAATGTCTCTTAAGTATCCATGCCATATAGATATTAATTTGACTTTGTTTACTTGACTGGAGAAAATCTATTAACGTTTAGAGGCAAGATAAAGGCGAGTCAGAAATATCTCAATGGCACAGCTCTCCAGATCTCTAAAAAAATAGCGATGAAAATTGTTATGAAATGCATCTTGAGCTAGAGAAATACAGTCAGCAAGAAACAGCTTCAGTTTCAACTACAAATATTTAGAGGTACTAGCACATCCTTCAGCAGTGTGTAGAAAACTAGATAGTTAATGAGTCAAAACTTGTGTGCCTGTAGATGTAAAACATGCATAGGGACAGCTCTGGCACATGCATCCAATAAGTACTCCTTATGCCATCTCTAGACTTCGAAAAGTGAGAACTGCATTCATTGTCTTGAGTTGTTACTGTTTTACTTGAAAACATTTGTTAACTTTTAATTACTGAATTGATTTTACTTTGGCATTATAAAACACTTCTGTGGGCAGTGAAGGCAGTAGTAGTTAATTTTTTTAGAGAAAGCATTAATTTCTGTGCATGTGGAAATTCTTACTTAATATGAAGAATAGCAGAAAATTATCTAATATTCTGAATAGCAGCAATGCATTTTTTAATTTCCTTATAATATATTATGCTTACAAAATGAGAATTGCTTTCTCTATTAGTCTCCTGCACTAAGTTAATGCTTTAATTGGTGACAGACGGCAAAGACGATTATGTCAGCTTGGTGAAAGTTCATGGTGGAGAGATCGGGATGATACAGCTTTACTAATGTAAGGTTTGTGGTAGTCCATGCAGTATGACAAAGTAGGTACAGTCACCTAGTCATCTATATTCAACTAACTTTTTCTGAGCCAGATGATCAGCAGGACAGGTTTAGTGCTGTCTCCCCTGCAGCTCCTCCATCCCACATCTTCCTGTACAACCCTGGTTTCTCACAACTCTCCTTTTCCTTCAGCGTCAGGTGTACCTCATTTTCATTTAGAGCAGCCCAGCCCTCACCCTATCTTGTGCTGGCACTGTGTCATCTGGAAAGGCAGAGACTGCAACCTGAAAAACTTTGGAGAGGTGGAAGAAGGAGAAGATCTCTTCATTCAGGGAATAGCTCATTGCAGCAGGGGTATTGGGCATTCTGCAGTACCACAGTGTGGGGCTTTGTCACTTTGAAAATGCCTTCTGAGCCTTCACTTACATAAAGAAATCCATGATTGATTTAACTTGGGAGATTTCTTTTGTGAAACCAGTAATTGGAAAGCTAATTGTCAGGTAATAGTCCTTTTACTTTATTATTATTACGGATAAGAAATATTTAATTTCTCTATTAGTTATTTCTCCTAATATTCTGATGTTCATCCCCATTTGTAATCATGTATTTGAAAAACATTTTTAAAGTGTTAATCTCCTTTTTCTTTTTAAATATCAGGTTAGGTTTGTTGCTTTCCTTTGGCTGAGCTCCCTGGATAATTTTTTTTAATATGCTGATTCTGAAGGGAATGTCTATCTTCAATATTACCTTTTAAGCCCGGGTTTGGGTTTTTGGTGTTTTTTTTCTCTGTTTCAGGAAGAAAAAAGTCAAGAAATGTCTACCAATTTAAAATACCTTTCCTTGGGCATCCTGGTTTTTCAGACCACGAGTTTAGTCTTGACCATGCGTTATTCTCGGACACTAAAAGAAGAAGGACCTCGTTACTTATCCTCTACTGCAGTAGTTATTGCTGAACTTCTGAAGATTTTGGCATGTGTTCTATTGGTCTACAAAGACAGCAGTATGTGTCAAATTTTGCACCAAGTAATTTTCCTAATCAATATGCTGTGTTGTAGTGGCAACTGCAAAGCAGCCATGTGAGTACAGGCATACAACAAAGCATTTCCCTTCTCATGTAAGAAATAGTCTTGGAAAGACACTAATCACACTTCACTCCTTAACACACGATACAAGATATTGTATATTTGCTGAAGAGAGTTCTCTTTAAAGAGTGTGGATACTGAGGAGTGCAAGAATAAATTTTCTACTAACAGCTTGAAGCTTGTGTTTGCTCAGGCATTTTAAGAAATTTGTATGTGGAAGTAGGGAAAAAAAGAAAAGCTTTAAATGTCCAAACCATGAATGAGGATTTAGAAGCCTGTAGTAAACAACAGATGCAGAAGGGAGGAAGTAATTTCATTACTACAGGAAGAAGCACAGTTTTAAGCTCAAAAAAAGTATATTTGGATTTACTCTAGTTGTTATTTTGTACATTTTATACTGAATTTATCCAGTTCCTTGACATGTATATTTGATCTTCAGCAGCTTAAAAATATCATTGTATATGCATATATTCATGACTCTGTAGGCTTCTAAATGTGCACTTTTTAAGTGATACTCTTTAACTTATCCTCTTCAAATATTGATATGGTTTCATAAGTTTTACTTAAAGTATTTTGAATAATTGTTCTAGTTCTGATATTCCAGGCTACAGGAAGACGCTCTGCAGCCTTTTTTTCTTACGTATATGAGGCTCATGAAAGTCAAACATAGATAGTATTTTGAGGTCTGGATAGCAGTGATAGCTATAAAAAGGGGGCAACAATCTTTAAGAACAGAGCATTGCTATATCTTTTTTTTTTCTCTCTCGTTTTAGTGAATGTCTGTTTCTTTTATTGTTTCTTTGGGTAGAGTGCAATTTACGGACTCTGAACAGAGTGCTACATGATGAAATCCTTAATAAACCCATGGAAACTCTTAAACTTGCTATTCCTTCAGGAATTTATACTCTTCAGAATAACTTGCTGTATGTAGCATTGTCAAACCTAGATGCAGCCACATACCAGGTATTGTACATTTAGATTTCTCTGTAAGTTTCAAAAAAAACCCCATGAATTATGCAGTAGTAACTATTTCTGGGTTCTTCTAGGTTACGTATCAACTGAAAATTCTTACCACAGCATTGTTTTCTGTGTCCATGTTGAGCAAGAAATTGGGTGTATACCAGTGGCTTTCATTAGTAATATTGATGACAGGAGTGGCATTTGTGCAGGTAAATATTAGCAGGTGGTTTGTGTTTGTTTAATGTGTTTATTCAAGGAACAGGGATTTCTACACTGATTGTACAGCTTTCTGATTCTACCAGCTGCACACAATCATCAAGGTATGGTCGGGAGCTACGAATCACAACTGGCCAGGGATAGAGGACACCAGAAATGGTTCAAAGGCAGAAGATAACACCTCTTTTGTGTCCCAGTGCTCTACTGTAGAATGTGACAAGGCCTCTGGAGCCACCTGCAAATAACAGTGATAGCAGTATGGCAGTATTTATCAGCACACGTTAGGGATTCAGAGATCTTCTGTGCCAGCACAGTCCTGCTGCTCACCTTGTGATAACAGCTTCGGCGTGGCAAATTTACTTGAACTTTTTCAAGATGCAAACTTGGCTGCTGCTCTAAATAGTGGAGGTACAGGAGTTTGTAGTTTTCAGAGGGCAGGATCATGGGATAAGAGACTATTCTAAGAATTTTTAGCAGATTTTAGCATATCCTGGAAATTTTTATTTTAAAACTTAGGGATTTGAAAAAAAATCTGAGGACTAAATTTTCAACTTCAATAATTAAAAATGAGAACAAAGCATTCTGACAGTAATTAACAGACTCTTCAGTATGTTTTTGTCTATGGCATTGCACTTTATTCTGTTAGCATTAGATATATTGCAGGATTTAGCTTCATAAATTTCAGCTTGTTTTAGTCATCTGCATAATCACTGGAGAGGGGCACATGCAAAACACAATTCACCCCATCTTAAAGACAGCTGGTGTAAGTGGTTTTCTAATTGTGTGTACTTGTAAGGTAACTAAATGTTGAGTGGCAAAAGCTGATGACTGTGAATGACCATAAGCCATGCTGGGATTCAGAAACAGTTCTGGCTTATAAAACATAAATCCTGGACCTATTCAAAATGATGGGTATGCTCCCAGTTCAGTCACAATTTTACTCCTTACAAATATGTAGAAAGAAAAACTATGGCTTTGCAGTCCTTTAAAACTATTTATGGTGCAAAATACAAAACTTCACAAGCGTGTGTTTGTCTGTATATAGTAACTGTTACTAGAAAACAAATTTGCATTTTATAGATGCTCATGACTTGACTTTTGTCGGTGAATTTTGTATAACTGTTTTTACATCCAGTGGCCTTCAGACTCTCAAGTAACAGCTGCTAAGGAACATAAAAAAATTTGTAGGCCTGATCGCAGTTCTTATAGCATGCTTTTCTAGTGGATTTGCTGGGGTTTATTTTGAGAAAATTTTAAAGGAAACTAAGCAGTCTGTGTGGATCAGAAACATTCAGCTTGGTAAGTTTAATTTTATTAATCTCTTAGAGATACTGCATTCTGAAGAATTAAAATCAATGTGCAAAATATAAATAAAAAATACCACCAACATGTTAGTACTCTGCATAAATGTACTTTTAAAACCAAGAGTATAAATTCTGCTAGATAGAATTCTAGAAGTTGCTTTCTGATCTTGACCTAGTTCTTGATTTAACTCAACTTATAGAGTGTAAGTTTGTACAGGATCTGTCAATTGAATCTGTATTTGAAATCTTGTAAAGAATTTTATCTTATGCAGGATTCTGTGTATGCTCTATGTTTAAAAATTATTATGTTTTGCACTAATTCATAAGATCTGATAAATATAGATAGTATTCCTTTTTCCTTTTTTTTTAACTTTTTTTGGAGAATATAGGAACTTTAAAACAAAATATGTTTCTAAGTCAATGTTTTGAGATCTTTTAAAATGAACACTTTTTTTGCTCTTGTGTGGGTAGGCAGTTTTTATAGGTTGGTACTTTTAATTCAAAAAACTGCTGTGTTTGTGAATAAAGTTGAGGTAATGAATTACTGTTTCAGAACAAATGTCAGTTTGTTTTGGTTCTCTGTATAATCACTGGAGACACACATATGGAAAAGACAGATCATCTTAAATATTTTAATGGCCTTACCTATTGTGCACCGACCAGTAAGAGAATACTTTCTATTTCCAAAGTAGTTCTGGGTCTTCTAGACCCTAGATATTATTGGCAACGGAGTTGATCCATTTTCCTGAATGAGTTTTCCCTCACCTCAAAGCAATCTTGTCCAGTTTATAGGGTTGGAAATGTGACATCAGCAATATCTTTTTGTTCCTGTTTTGCAACAGAAACAAAACTCATTGTTAGAGTTGCCCTTCTTTCTCTAATGGAATCCCTTTAGTCTTCACCTGTAGGCAATAATTCTTTATTGCATATTTGAATAAATGCTTTCAGCAGAATTTGAACTTTCCAGCACCTTAGAACAGATTCTTGTTCAAATCCACAGTACTGTAGAACGAAGTCATGGGGATGATTTAGTGGATCAGGGCTGTGTACTGAGTCTGGTGTAATGTAATGAAGTACCATAAAAACAGGAGATGGTGTGGGTTTTTTCTAATTAGATAGTTGGTCAAAAACTGGTATGGTCAAAAATGGCTGAATACAAGCAGCATTTTTTCCTTTCTTTCGCTGTTGCTGTGTTTTAATTATAAATTATTTCAGTTAAAAGCACAAAACTGCATTTTGATTACATTTTTATATTTTTACATGTCCATAATGTTTTGAAATTTGAGGATAGAAAAGGGGAGCAAAACCTCTATTTGCTAGTATTTATTGAAATTGTGTACATTAAAACTAAGTTTTCATGAACAGAGTGTAGGCGATACATCAAGAAAGGTTATGTTAGAGAATTTTCGAGGCAGAGAAGGGTGGGTAGCTGGGGCTTGGTCCAAGATTTAAGGTAATATTTGGTGCTCTGGATGGAGCTGCAATATAAAATTCCTGCCAAGGAAAGCTGATTGTTGTTACTCTCAATTTCCATGCAAAAAACGCTTTGCTGGGCAACAATACAGATATCTGAAACAATTAAACATTTGTAATTGTTGAAAAATCAATGATGTCTTCTAAAACATTCTTCAGATTTTTCTACAGTGCATAAAAGTATGTATGAAAACAAATTAATTCACTAGTTTGATAGTCAGCCTGGTCGTATATTGAATGTTCCAGTAATTGCTTTGTGAAAACAATGAGATCAGAACAGACTGTGTCTAAACACAAACTGTTCAAGGTAATGAATAACTAGGGCTGTGATATATGAAAACATAAATGTATGTGATAATAGTGAGAATTGGATCACCTGATTTTTTAAATTTATTTATTTTTTTATCAGTGAGCTTAATTTGCCTCAATACAAAATTCAGTAGAATATGTTTACTATTAAGGTTGTTTTCAGTTAAATTAATTTTGTCATATTTCATAGAGGGTTTCCAGATAACAACTTTTAGAAAATATTTAAAACATGAAATCACAGTTTCAAAAATACGTTAGTGTATCCTTTCTGCAAGTGCAAGATAGTTGCCTGCATAAGACATTGTATCAGTCATAAGCAAGAGCTGTGAGATAGAGCTTATCTTAAAACACAAACAACAAAAACCATACGTCCAACCTGGTTTTCATTTCCATATCTACAGAGAATTATTAGAACTGTAGAAAAAATTGGAAAATATATTTGAATAATTGTTCAGTTTTTAATGCATACCTGTATCATATTAGGGATGTACAAATAGTTTATTTATTTTAGCAGACCAATTGGAAAATAGAAGTAATTTGTTTAATATGAATGAAACCTAAATTTTTAATTATGTCTACAAAAAGAATTATTTCCTGTCAAACAGAATGCTTTATTTTGTTCAAAACAATACTGCCCTTTTCAGATGTAAAGAAATGTGATGGAAATAGAGGTCAGCTTCTCACAGAAAAGGAATGGAAAAAATGTTCCCGTTCATACTCAACACTCATACTTTTGACTCTATACTTACCAAATTATAAACTTCTTAATCTCATCTCAGTTTCTTTTTTTGACATTAAGTCTCTCCTAGTAAATATTCATTGTGTTTGAGATTGGTTCAGAAGAATCCTGCTTCCAAGAACTTTGTCTGAATTGGCAAACTGATAAGTCCTGCTCTTGCTATGTCAGAGACCATCTGCTCCACTGAATGTTTTCCCTGTTTTTACTCTCCAGATTATAGTGTAACTTCAGTCATGACTAGTTTCAGGAAAACTGAAATTGTGTTTAGGTGAATTTTGCTATATGCCATAAACAAAAATCACTCAATTCCAGTAGAAAGCAATGGAAGACAAGGATATAAGAATATCCTTAAGAACATCCTAATGGAAACAGTCAAAACTTGTTATAAGTGTGGAAAATAGCTTTTAAAACAGAGTATCTGTCTGAACACTGATTGCATTTGAACGTGATGGCATTGCAAGTAGCAGTCCTATTTTAAAATCGGAAATACGTGAGCAGTCCTTGAGGGCAAGGAACCTGTTTGCATGTTTTTCACTTGAAGCTTTTAAATCAATCTTGTACTTTCAGGATTTTTTGGCAGCATATTTGGACTGATGGGTGTATACATTTATGATGGAGAACAACTGTCAAAGGATGGATTTTTTCAAGGATACAATAAACTTACTTGGGTAGTTGTTGTTCTACAGGTGAGATACCTTGTATGACATGTTGCTGTGAAGGCACTTGGGATTTACTGTTCTATAAATGACTAGGGAAACTAATGGGTGTCATTGAAGCTGCTGAGAATTCTATAGTCAAAAGTCTGATCTATCACTATTAGAATAAACCTCTAAATAAAAACCTGGAAAATATGTAGCAAGTATATGACTAAGTATTGTGCAACATAAAAGCATGTAAGCATTATTTCTTTTGCAATGTTTAAAAAAACCACATATGCCCTTCCTCCTGTGGCTAAAAATGTATAGTACAAGCATTTCCACTAATTTAATGATGCTAATATGATGAACAATTTCTTTAATGGGGAAAGAACTCCTCCAATATTTATCTTCAACAGTGCATATCCATAACATAAAATAAATGTAATGCTTCTAAGCATAGACAAAAGCTTTTCCTAAAGTAAGTGCATGTTGTTAAAGTAGATGCTCTCAGTGGAATTATCAGGTTGTAAATCCAAACCTCAATATTTTTTTCAGGCACTTGGAGGGCTGGTGATTGCTGCTGTTATAAAATATGCAGACAACATTTTAAAGGGATTTGCAACTTCTCTCTCTATCATACTGTCAACATTGATCTCCTATTTCTGGCTGCAAGATTTTGTCCCCACAAGGTAAGAACTATTTTCCATGTATGCTGAAAAAAAAAAATAGTTGAAAACTTAATGCGTACCAGATGTAACTGCAAAAATAAATAAAAAAACCAGTCCAAGCCACACTTTTAGAACATTTAGGTACAACTTGCACATAAAAGTTTAGTTTCATAACATACCATAACTAATACTTAATTTTTTCAGTATAGTTGGCAAGATTAAATTTTGTGTAAGATACAGCCCCCCCGCCCCCCAGGTCAGGAATAACTGAATCTCAAATCTTGGCTTTTGACAAACCACGCCCTTGCAGGCTCTGTGTTTTAGTTCACTGTCCCTTTCTCTTCTTGTCCTCCCTACATGATGGCCCTCAGTTTGTTCAGCTCCTGCTTTGCTTTGATGCTGAAGCCAGTCCTCTTTAGCTTTGATGCTTGCCTGGCGCTGCCTTTGGCTCCACTCTTTCAACCCATCTCCCCCCTGCTGGCTGTTTTGAGTAAGGTCGTGACAAAGGGGTTGCCTGTCTCTTGTTTTCTCTTTGTCCTCTAAATGGACAGATCTTCCGCAGGTCATCTCATTGCAAGAAGAGTTATGGCTGAACAATGATAACTAACGATGATACTCTTTTTGTAGTGGTTTTCATTCAATCTGAAAGAGTTTCTAAAAGAAATAATTGCAATCATACACACATGGAGGTTACACTACAGCAATTAGTTGCCCAAGGACACCAGGAAGCCCAAAGGCAGAGCTTTTTTCTAAAGACAATACCATATTTATTAGTGAAAACACTCAACCAAGAAAGAGAAAAAAATGCTTGCTATGTGCTTCTAGGCCCAATACACCGTGTCCTGATGTTTTGTGAATCAGATTTTAGTAGGTCTGTGCACTGCAGGTTTTGTACATAGGTATGTTCTGGAATAGTGCTTGTCTTGGCAGAGTATGTTAATATATGGAGCGTAGAAGTAATAGTCCAACTTTCAGATATATTAACAGGCTTTAGCTTATAATTGAACTACAGTCCTCACATATGTTACCCATACTCATAATGTAAAAATATTTTTAATAATATTTACAACTTTTGTATTTGATACAAAGAAACTTCTTTTTATCTAAAAGTACTGTTTGCAATATTATCAGGACTTTAATTAAAGATTCAAAAAAGGAAGTAGAACAACTATTTAGGTTTAAAAAGTGGAAGACATTGAACTTAAATTGTAAGTAGCCTATACTTGTCCTGTTAAAACAAATGTAGAAAGTGGTTTAAGAATTTTGGTGTGCTCAAACGGAAAATTAATAAGTAACTTACCAGCTTCTGCAAACATGGTGAAAATGGAAATGGTGGTAAATAATTAAATCAGATAGAGCCAACTAGCAGCATATAAAACTTGAAGCCATCTCGTTTAATAAAACTTGATTAACTTGAGTTAATCAAAGTTAATCTCTAGTACCTTGCTTATGCCAATTGAATTTGTTTGAACTGAAACTGCGTAATTGTTTCTGTCGCTTCAAGAAACATTTTTGATTGGGATAATAGATGTAAAATACTTAAGTGCTTGAATGTTTGCAATGGATCGTGTCCAGAAACAGGCTAACTGTATTCTTTGAAGGATTATCATGTCATGCGCCACAGTTTTTTTAGCGTTTGGTTCAGAAGATCAAATTGTCAGCATCGTCATGTCTTCATGACAAGGTTCTTTTCTAAAATGTGTACTGATTGTCTGTTGGCTTTGGATATTTTGTTTCAGACTTGTAACTATCAAAACAACTTGAAAGGCCCATATGTCACAATACAAAAGATGCCTTTATTATCTTTTCCTTATATAAAGATTTATGTATCTGCCAAAAATTAGATTATACTGACTTGCAAACTGGTTCTTGGGCAGCAGTAATTTGTTTTGACATAAGCTTTGGACTTCAAAGTGAACACAACTCCAACAATGCGATGTATGTAAGGTTAGAAGTGGCTGGGTAACCACAGTAGTGGCACTTCTTTAGCTTCTGCTTGCATTTTGCACAGAGCTTTAGGCAAAAGAAAAAAAACAAAACAAAACGAAAAAAAGGATTGGTCTTATTACTTTTGACAATTGATCCATGAAATCATAATTTTAATTTCCAGAATATGTCAGTATAATGATACATTACTTTGTGGATATAAGTTTCTTATATCAACTTCTTCCTGCATCATTCAATAATACATATATGCAAATTATTTAGTTCTTTATATATTGCACAAATAAACTTATCTTTCTGTTTTCCCACTGGAAAAAATATTCTTTGTTTTGGTTGTATTACATAGATAAAATTGCATCAAATAAAACGAGCTAACTATTTTTTTTTTCCATCCCTATTCCATTCAGCGTCTTTTTCTTTGGAGCCGTCCTTGTAATAGCAGCTACTTTCCTATATGGTTATGATCCCAAACCTGCTGGAAATCCCATTAAGGCATAGCAGACTTCCTCATCAACCTGCTTCTCAAGATCATGCACTGGGAGCCTTGCTAGCAATGGCATGTGGAAAGTGTCATTGTGCATTGCAAGGAAAGGATCACTACCCTGAATCTATTGAAGAAATGCTTATGAGTAGTTCTGAACAGCCAGAGGGGTTAAAGGTGGATGATGATACTGTCTGTAACTGATTAAAAAAAAAAAAAAAAAAGCAGGGGAATGCCCAGTTCAACTTGCTAATAAAAACTTGAAAGGAGCAAAAGGTTTCCAAGAAACTGCAATTAGGAATGTTTACAGCTTTGACTGGGATTGCATCAAAAGAATTTACTGTATTGACTGCTGCAGAAATATGTCCTATGCACTCTTTGAAAGAGCACATGACAACGTTGTCAGATTGTATGTTTTTGCAATTTGACTATATTTAATCTTAGTAAATATGTTTTTAACTGTTTATCTATTTACATGAAATCAGCTGAATACACGTCATAGTTCTAAAGTGATGGTTCTAATTAGGTATTCCTTATTAAAACTGTGAAGATTGAAGTATGATGGAAATACTTTCACAATATCAAATATTTTTATATTTTTAGAAGGCTGATTTAATAACAGAAATCTGTTATTAAATGATAGTATTATAATTCTCTTGCTTATATAAAACTATTGTAAGAATGTTAACATTCTCACCTAAGTACACAAAGGGAGAAAATCATAGTGAAAGCTGGAAATCTTTGTTGATACTCTAGCCTTCATCAGGATAGCCTGCCGTGTTCCAACAGATGCAGTAACTGTGAACACAGGCCAGAGGTTACTGCACTAACCTGGTACTAAGAGTAGGGTTATGGTGGAGTGCTTGCTCAGATGTAATGTTCATTCTTTTTATTGATTATAAATCAAATTTTTGGTAGAACCTTTAAAGTAGTTTTTATGCTTTAAATATCCTTTGGGGATTTTTTTTAACCACAATTTTAAAAAAAAAAGCCCATAATAAACATTTTTAAATGCATTATTGTTGTCTGTAACAGCTCCATCTGGAGCTATTATGGTATATCATCTGTATACTGTACTTTATTACAGAGGTGTTTTTTAAACAAGTATTGTTTACTCATGACCTCTCAAAGGCTTTTTCAGTACGTTTCTATGTAATGGCTTAATTAGAGGTTTTTATTATTGTTATTGTTATTATTTTGTTCTGAGAGTCCTTGAGCCAACAGACCAAAATGGGTTCTCTGGAGCTATTCAGTCTAGTAGTGGAATTACTTTAAGAGGAAACATAATGAAAAAGTACTTAGTTGTGCAATAGGTAAATATAAAACCATGCTGTTCTTCTGTTTTAAACCAAAAAAAAAACCTTCAGAAAGAAACCTAGATGCAATTAGAACTTAGATCAATTAGACTGTTATGAACACTTCACTTGTTGAAGTACTTGCATATAGCCAGAAACACCAAAAATAAAATGCCAGAATTAATAAACAAAGAAAACTGTCTTCAAAATTACTTGTTTTGAGGAGACCTCTTCACAGTGGCTATTAATGTAGAGTGACTTCTTATCCACATGCTAACACTTGTAAGGGTATACATTTATACAAAAACATACCAGTACTCCCTTACCTGTAGAATGGCAAGTGGTAAAAATGTATTGTGTCCTTTCCTTCCCCCCATGCTCTTTCTCACTTTTGTCTTATGCTAATGAACACATTGTGAAGAGAGGGGTGGTTTAAAATGTTTACCAAAGTACCTCATCCTGTTTTCCACATTTTAGTGGTGGATTGACTAGGAGATTCTGTAAGAGTGCTCTGAGATGTCTTTTTTTTTTTTTTAATGAAGTGTTATAAATAGGAAAGGAAAAATTCCACTTACATCAGCCAAGTAAAAATAGTGTTTTCCTTCTGTTGGCAATGATGTGGATTATCAACTTTTTGTTTGTTTATCATACCAGAGCAAGACATTAAAGAAATTTCAGAGTTATGCCAAGGGCTTGTGAAGCTTTGTGAATTATGAACCTATCCCAGCATGCCATAATTGGAGGAGCTCTAGTACTTGGTAGTCTAAACTATCTCATATTGCCCTAAATTGGCATTCTATATTAATATTAAACCTTTTACCTGTAACACTCAATGTGGCAAAATGTTTGAAAAATTACATTTAGTCATTTTGCCACTGAAATACAACATGAGGCCAGATGTTTGTGTAGAACAGTGGCTCGCAGCATTGCTTAGTGTAGAATGGAAAGTGCATGACTCTGAAATGATCTGAGAAGTGTTAGCAGTAATATCTGAATTGGAGTCTGGCCTATACAATAATACTTTTAATTTCATGAATCACAGTAGTGGAAATGTTCAGGTGATATAATTGGTTACTTCCTTGAGGAATTTCTCCAAAAAACATAAGCAGCAGGTTGAGAACACATTTAAAGCCGGTTGCACAGGAAGGGCCCAAATAATCACCACATTGCTGGAGATCTGTTACATAAACCCCAGTTTTAATATTTCAGGTCCACCTGTCAATGTTTGTCTATAAGGATCAGTTTAAAGGAAAGAACAGGAATGTGTACTGTTTGCTTTTGAATAGGATGTCATACAGCTTTGGAAAACAATACATCTACTGTACTAAGGAACAGTAACTCCTGCCCATAGATTAGTGAGTCTTCCATGCTTTCAGTTGACAGTTCCATTAAATTTTCCAGTAGAGGGATAGATCTCTTCGTACAGCTGTTGCTGTAAAGGAAACACGAATGTGCGTTTTTAGCTGTCTTTCTGTAGCCCTTTACAGGCTAAGGAAAGACTCTTACCTGGGGCCCTCCAGGTTGAAAAGCGTTATTCTAGACAGAGGGAAGACAGCGTATCTTTCTAGAGAACAGAAGGGATTTGAGGAGGGTTTACTGATTTCTCTAACTTGCAATCTGAGAGCATGTGCATGTTTTCTCATTGAGATACTTTTGTATCTGCGTTTTAAAATTAAAAAGAAAAAAAGCGGGTTTAAGTCTGTAACTCATTAACTAACCAAAGAAGCATAGCTAGCACAAAGCTTTGGGAAGTAGGGGATAGTGTGCTTTGAGTTTGCCCTAAAAGCAATCAATAGGAGTCTAACTTTCCAAAAATAAACCTGTCTTTCTGAACTATTTTTCTGACTTTTAGGCAATGGATTTGTTAGTTTTGTTGTATATTGAGGAGGCTAACCTATGCTTAGCAGATTTTTATTTAAATATTTATAAAGTTATAGCTAGGTATTTATTTGGAATAACTTCAATTACATGATTTTATTTTTTTTTTATGACTTGCATAATAGGAGTACTAGTATTTATTGAATATTTGGATATTTGGTAGTTTTATTTGAGAATCTCTGGGATACATGATAAATGGTCAAATAACAATAAACTTAGAACTATCTTCAAAGCGAAATAAATCAGCAGTTGAGTGGTGAAAAATCTTGAGTCTGATAAAGTACAGTAAACTTTTCTTTAAATGTTGTATTTCTCTGCTATCCACAAGTGCCCAATAATCTTTTTTCTCAAAGAATTCAGATCATTTTTATAGTTCTATTCAATTTCTTTGTTTTAGACAAACTATAAGAAAACTTCCCTTTTTGTTTGCTTTAATAATGAGTAGATTAATGTTCTAGGTCCGGCTTCTGCAAGATAACACCTTGGGTTTTTCACTGTAGCTTTTTAGAAACTATTGTTTTATTTTTCCTCAAAAAAAAAAAAAATCTTATTTTGATAGCATATGCTTGCGTTTCAGTTACTCATACAGTCCTCTCACAGAGTTTTAGAAGTACGTAGCTGTTTTGTGTTCTTAACTTATTTTTATGGCTGTAATTCAAAAGACTGTAATGGATTTTGTTGATTTTGGTTTAAAATTGATAAATGAAACGTGCTTCTTCTGGATTTTGTTGTCAGTAACTTTCATATTTTAATATATTTCCTTATCAGCCATGCATGTTCTGTTGTATTTAAGCAATCATCATTTTCCAATTTTGAAGTTGTTGCTCATTTTCCTCCTAGTGGCAGTGTTTCTTGCTGGATATTGTGAATGAGGAAGATTAGTAATTGTTTTACTTCTCTGAAATCCATGCTTTGTAGGAATGAGATATTAAAAACCATTAAGGGTTTTTATTGTGTATTAGTAAGGTAATGTTTATCTATAACATGGTATTATACCATATATGTGATAGTGTATCATTACCTATGGTGTTCAGTTACTGTAAGAAAGTCCAAAAAGTATTTCCTTGCCTTTGTTTTCATTGTTCTTTTCATTTTTGATGCTGATTATTTTCCACAGGAAGTTATTAAAGAGTTCTACTCTTTCCAGGTAAGCTCATTATATGTTTTTAGATATCCACATTTAAGATATTTTTACAGTAATAAAAGCAGGGGAAAATGGAACAAAATAAGTGGGACTAATTAGATATCTTCTGCTCCAGTTACTGTGAATCCAAATTTCTGTTCAGTTGAATTTGTAACTTTTTCTAATTATTTCCCACTACCTGAATTTATAACTTTTTCTAGAAGCAAAAAAATCCGTCCTGAGGTGCTGTTCAGTGCTCATTCTTGGATGTCTGCTGCACATTTGCTTCCAAAAGTAGACATGGTATTTTTAACTCTTGCCTTCAACCTTCTGTCATCGTTCTGACTGTAATTAGCCAGATTCATTTCATTAGCAATTTATAGCTCAGTAAGAATTGCTTATATGCTAAGCATTTGTTTATATTTGCTGCCATGAGTAACACTTCTTTAGATTATTAAAAGTTTGTCTTTATTGTCGATATATTTTAAATTTAATTTTAAATATATGATCCCAAATATAAATCATATATTCAAACATTGTAGCAAAATTTTTAAGGTAGTCATAGGATTTTTTTGTATGTTGGTGTTTGTGTGTGATTACACCGAATACAGTTATACTATATGGTGTTTCCACGCAGTTTGGAAACAGGTTATTTTTTTTGGTATAACACTGCAAAAAAACCATGGAATGCATCTTACATGACCTAATACAGCCTCTTTTTAATCCATATTGAGGTAAAATACTGTATTTTTTTTTTCCTCCTGTATGTGTAGATAATGTCACTGTAGTAATAAATTTGTTAAAACTAAGTACCGGCTTTAGTAAGAATATGGTATAAAACTGAGAGCTTTGTAAATGAGGAGGCTTGCCTTATTCATATTTTAACAGAAATAAAATAATGTTTTAATTAACATACCTTATTTCAGAATATAATTTTGGCATAATTTTCTATAAACTCTAGAAGGCTATTCTAAGATGTTTGTTAATGGCATCTTTTAACATACAGCTTACTGAATTTTGCCAGAAATTTACTTTTGACTGAGACACGCTTCTTTTTGACCACTGTATCATGGCTTCTTGTGAATTGCATTTGAGCATTGTTCTTGTGACTGTCTGTCTCTGCACTCTTCTGGTCTGGAAACCCTGATCTCCTTGTTCAGGGCTGCAGTTCCTGAACTGGACATGGTAGGGAGTATCTGGCTATCAAGTACCAAGTTACAGTATGGTGTGTGATTGTAAAACACTGTAATCCTGTGTAGAAGGGTTTTGCCACAAGTTACCAGGAGGCAGCTGGTGATTCAGTAGCTTCTTCCTGCCCCCTCCCCGCCCCCCCCATTTAAAATATTTTATTTTGATAGCAGTGGGAAGTACTATCTAATATACTCTCTAGAATACAACGCAATCCATTGGTTCATGTTACAGTTTAGAAGCTGAGCTTTTGTATAGCTGTAATTGACAATATATCAAAGACCTGAACAGAGTTCCCAAACACATTGCTATAGATGGTGGATAACATATTTCCCTGTCCTTACCAGAGATATATATCATAAAATCAGGTCATTTCACCAGCTATGCACTAATAATTTTCAGGACATTTCATTTCTGTCAGTTCCTTTTGTCAATTCCCCTCTGATC